CCCAAGGTAGAATGTTGGAGGCAGTTTTACATTTAAAATACCAGGATACATGGGATCTTGCTCCCAGAAGCCTTCTTCTCCTCCCCCCCCCCATTCCTCCCTCCTGAATAGGGTTGGCTTAAGTGAGGTCGATCATAGAGAATCCCTAACAATTTGGGGATTTAACAGCTTGGAGAGGCCAGTTAGTGCTTTGTGGAGGTGAAAATAGTTGCCATGGTTACGTGTGAGGTACCTTTGCTTTCCTGCCTTAGACCGGGCAGTGAACTGCCTGAAGTGTCTTTCAGCAGAAATCATTCTCTTGTATTCAGGCTGCACAGTCTTTTATTGTCATGAGTATGACCCCAAGTCTGCAAGAACTGGGTCTGGAATGCCCTAAGGCAACTGGCCACTAGCCTGTGACAGCCCTGAGGAGGACCAGGTTTTTGCCAGTAGCTGCTGGGCTAGTGGATAGCCACCTGAGAGAAGGGCTATTGCTATAAAAAAGAGAACCAAAACAAAAATGAAAAAGAGTGGGGTCATCATCTGTGGTGATTTAGTGGGACCAGGAGAGATCAAGGGGTACCCTGGGGCAACAGTATCCTTTGATGGAACAGGGTTTTAAAATTTTTTTTTAGAGGTCGAGAGTGGTTTGGGGCTATGCATGGCTGTGCTCAGGAGCTATTCCTGGCTCTGTGCTCAGGAGTTATCCCTGGAGGTGCTAAGGGAACCATGTTACCAGAGATCCGTCAAGGTCCACTGCATGCAAGGAAAGCACTTTAATACCTGTGCTGTCTGTCTGACCCAAGGGGGATGGTATTAATGTGCTTTTTTGTTCTAGATCAGTCAACTGCCAATAGCCTAGGGGTTTTGCTTGTTTGTTTCTTTATTAGTCCCATAGCATACTTGTGAAAGCAGTTTTGCTAAGATATACTGTGAAAACTGCAATTTTGAAACTGCGTACCTTTTGATTTTTAAGTGACTTAATTTAGATTTTGCTTCCCACTCATTCAGAAATACAATTTGAAGAAAATTTAATTGAGTCAAAACTTTTGGGGCTGAGTGTAAGGCTCAGAGTGTGCGCTTTTCTCCACCATTGTCTCAGTGTCCCCTTTACCCCCTTAATTGCCTGTGGGGCAGTCTCATTTTAAGCATGCCTGCTAAATAAAGTTCTGCATTTCATTAGGAAAAGATTCCAGTTATTAGTATGTAGTTGTGACCTTCATTCCATACCCTCCTTCATAAAAATCCCTGGGCCAGAAGCTTATCTCCCTACTGCCCACATCTGCTGGTTGGCTTTGGTACCTCAGTTCTGTCTGACTTCTTCCAGCACCTTCTCCTTGTCACAGTCTGACTTCTACCACCTGTTCACTCCCCTGTTTGCTTACCTGAAGCATCTGCTCCAACCAAATGTTCAAAATCTACCCTAGTTTAAGAGAGAGAGAGACAGAGACAGAAACAGAGAGCAAGAGGCAGAAAGACAGAAAGACAGAGACAAAAGAGAAAGAGAGAGACTGGCATGTATCTGCCCTGGCATTTCTCTTCTTTGTGGTAATGTAAACTATTGATTTAGTTCTCCCTGGAATTTTTTCTACTGAGATAAAGTTAACTTGGTTCTATCACTTATGTTGAATTTTTATTATGTTTCCTTCTTCTGTCATCAAACTCTACCTTTTATATTGCTTTTTTATAATTATAGTAAGCTTCTGATCATAGTTGGGAGGGGGTGTCCCCACTAATTATTTGAGATAGCTTACTTTGATAGGGTAAACTCGGCTGGAGCGATAGCACAGCGGGTAGGGAGTTTGCCTTGCATGTGGCCGACCGGACCCACCCGGGTTCAATTCCTCCGCCACTCTCAGAGATCCCAGCAAGCTACCAAGAGTATCTCGCCTGCACGGCAAAGCCTGGCAAGCTACCCAGGACGCATTTGATATGCCAAACACAATAACAACAAGTCTCACAATGGAGACGTTACTGGGCCCGCTCGAGAAAATCTGTGAACAATGGGAGGACAGTGACAGTGACAGTGACATGTTAAACTCTGATCTTGATTTCCAAGTGTAGTTTTGTTTGGGGGCTCTGGTGTCATACTCAGCATTGCCCAGGGATCATCCCTGGCAGTGCTTTTGGGGACTTTATGTGGTTCCAGGGATTGAATTGGAGTCAGCCTCTTGCAGGGCAAGTGCCTTACCCTCTAGACTTCCTCTCTAGCTCTTTCAAATGTAATTTTGTAAGATTTGGTGCAAAGATCTTTTAAGTACTTTATTTCTCTTAATCGAGACACAAAGCCTTCTTGACATTCTTCCCATCTGCAAAGGAAATCACAGTTAAACCAATTTTTTCTTTCATTAAAAAGTCATGGGCACTGCTTTGCAATGTCTACTTCTTTTTTTTTTTAACTGAATTACCATGAGATCCGGTTACAAAGTTTTCATGTTTGCATTTCAGTCATACAGTGATCAAACACCTGACCCTCCACAGTCTACATTGTCCACCACCGATGTCCCCAGTATCCCTTCACTCCCCCACCCTGGCTTCATCCCTCCCCCTGCCTCTATGACAGACAATTTCCCTCTTACTCTCACTCTATGGGTATTGTGGTTTGCAATACTGATAGTGAGAGGCCATCATGTTTGGTCCTTTTATCTACTTTCAGCACACATCTCCCATCCCGAGCGATCCTTCCAATTATCATTGACTTAGTGATCCTCTTCTCTATCCCAGCTGCCTTCTCCCACACATCATAAGACAGGCTCCCATCCATGGAGCAGTCTTCCTGGTCCTTGTCTCTACTCTCCGTGGGTGTTAGTCTCATATTATGATGTTTCATATTTCTGCTTAACTCTTGAGTAATAAAATTCACATGAAATCAGGACCGGAGCCATAGTACAGTGGGTAAGGGGCTTGTCTTGTACACGACCAAACCGGGTTTGATTTCTGGCAACCCATATGGTCCCCTGAACATTACTATGAGTAATTCCTGAGTGCACAGCTGGGGGTAACCCCTGAGTATTTCCAGGTGTGACCCCAAAACAACAGCAACAAACAAATCTTATAAAAAACGACATGAAATAGACTACCTGATTCAAGAACATGAGATATAGCCTAGCACAGAGAATCACCTCTGGAGCTAGCATGGTAAGAATGTGGATCCTGGACCCTCACCTCAGTGACACTGTGAAGTGTTTCCCTGTTCATGAGTAAGCCTCAGGTCCTGTTTCTGTGAAACAGGGTGTGAGTTGCTGGCAAGGATCAGCTCTGTTTCCTTTTTAGTTATTTCCATGGAAGGATTTGGTAGAGGGCTCTGCTGCCTAAGGAAGTGCACCCAGACCTTTTGAAGGATGAATGGAGGCCTTGGAGGAAGACTTAAGTTTCAATTATTTTGAGAAGGAAAAGCATTCCAGGGATGGGATACTACTTGTACAAAAGACTGAAAGCAAGTTCATACAGAGCTTTGCAGATATATGCAGGGAAAGGCCTTGAGGAGAGTAACGTATCCCAAAATAGAAAAAATGTGTTTCATGTTTAAGGACCATAAGGAGGGCCTGTAGAGACAGGACAGCAAGTAGGGCAGGATGCTTAACCTTATATGTAGCCGACCTGGGTCGATCCCCAGCACCCCATATGGTCCCTGAGCCCTTCCATGAGTGATCCCTGATCTCAGAGCCAGGAGTAAGCCCTGAGCACCACCAACTGTGACCCCCCAAACCAAAAGCCAAAACAAACCCCAAACAACTGTAAAGAATGAAACACTCAAATTAAAATTTATATATTCCCAAATTTGATATTCTCCAAATCAAAGGAATTGGTGCTACTGTAATTTATTAACAAATAAATTAATAAATTTTAGGGTCTGTCATTTGAAATACCTAGGAACTGTTGTAGAAGTTTTGTAGGCTTTGGTTGGCATTAAAATAAGGTTTGGTGCTGCTGGCGGGGAGAGAAAAAAAATAAGATTCATTGAGTCGGAGGGATAGTACAATGGGCAGGGAACTTGCCTCGCATGCTGCTGACTTGGGTTAATACCAGCACCGCTTAATGTTCCCCCAAACCCACCAGTAGTTATCCCTGAGCACAGAACCAGGAGGAAGCCCTGAGCAATGGTGCATGTGGCTGCAAAACTAAATAAAACAAAAGTTTAGGTTCATTTAGCAACCAAGGAAATAATTCAGTTGGGCTAAGCTTTAGCACTTGATGACTTTTTCCCCAAGTAATTTGGTCTGCTTATTTTATAGCTGGTTGTGCAGGTGGTGCTGGGGATTGAACCAAGAACCAAATATTAGTGTAAGGAATATGATCTGACATTTAAGCCACATCCCTGGTTCCTTATTTTTGAAGTAGTTCTATGATATTTTCATTTCTAGTTTGAATTTTCTTTAGTTCTTTAAGGTGGAAAATTTTAAATTAGTACTAGGAAATTCCCCAATATATCTTTAATTTTAATATCAGATATACCAGATTCCTGATTTTATTGAAGCTTAAAAATTTGATATTTTAGATATCAGTTTTATAACATGTATACAACGACATAGATAGCTTGTATACAATAATGTTAACATTTATAGTTTTAATGTATAATTCCTGTACTCTGCACCACCAAAGTACCATAATGTTATTTCTGATCTGCCTTGTCATTACTCCAGCACCTCCCCGCTACAAGGTAATTTTTGAAAAAAAATGTTAATGTAAAAAATAAGTAAAGAAAAAAAAAAGGAAGAAGTAAAGAATCTAAAAAACTCATTTTCCATGGTGTTTTTAAAGCTTGAATTAGAAGATGATTTAATTAAAGCTATGGTGCACTTAAATATTAATTCTAGTTAGGAAACTTCTCTCACTTTTGTTTATGTAGCAGTTGTGTTTCATAATTCTGTGGTAACATCATTAGTCAGCTCTAACAATAGATATTTTTCATAACTCTTAGAGAAAGAAATAGAATTGTTCAGACTAAACAGTTCTGATCAGATTTCATGCAGCATATACTTTTTAGTATTTTCTTAATTTTTTAAAATAATTTCCTGCAGGTAAAAGTGCAGTGTTAAAGTGTCTACTGGATATCCACAAAATTTTTCAGGAAAATGACCCAGCTTACATTCTAAATGATCTTTACATCTCAGACTACTGTGTGTGGATTCAGAAAGCCAAGTAAGTTTTGAGTTTCCTCCATTTCTTTTTAAAAATTTTTTTTCTGTCATTTACAAAGCTGTTAATAATAGAATATAAGGCATTCAGTGTTCCAAATCAACACACCACCAGTATCAGTGGCCCTTCACCAATGGCCCAAGGATCTCTCCCCACTCCACTTTCTACGCATATTATACTCCATTTCTGGAACCCATACTTACTCAGGAGAGAGAATTTGAAATAACCCGGGTGGATAAATTTTAATGAGAGCGACCAAACACTTTAAGAAGTAACTGGATCTGTACCAGGAGCCTGATGTGCTTGCTTATGGAGGAGGAAACAGATGGCAGAAAGTTCATTATATTAGGAAAAAAATGGTGCAACCTGGAAAACAGTTGTTAAAGTAGAAGTTATATTTGTTGTTACACACCAATTGTCCCTGTGCCTATAGTTTATTTACACTGGGTTGTGAGAGTGTATTGCTCCAGCCCTTAGAGGACACAAACCTAATCAATTCTTTCTATAAGAGTTCTGCTGACCACTGACTTACAGAATCCGGTAGTGTGTAAAAAATAGATTGAATCATATCAGTCTTGTAACATGAATCTTGACAGCACAAATATTAAAGGATCTAAATACTTATGGTTGGATCCCTCACACTTGGTGTTCATGTATGGAAATCAAAAAGTTTCTCATAGTCAGCACTCAAGGGAACATGTAAGTTTAAAAATCAAGTGAATTTTCACTTTGTGAAAAAGTTCTAAATACCTGATTATTCTCAGACTCGCCCAATTTTCCATTTTGGGATCGAGGGACTATTGATTGAGAATATTTGATAGTTGATATTGATAGTTGAATATTGATATTGATAGTTTGGGCTGGAGCAATAGCACAGCGGATAAGGTGTCAGGTAAGCCTTGCACGCAGCTGACTCGGGTTCGATTCCTTCATCCCTCTCAGAGAGCCTGGTAAGCTACTGAGAGTATCCCGCCTGCACGGCAGAGCCTGGCAAACTACCCGTGGCATACTCAATATGCCAAAAACAGTAACAAGTCTCACAATGGAGACGTTACTGGTGCCTGCTCGAGCAAATCGATGAACAATGGGAGGACAGTGCTACAGTGCTATTGATAGTTCTTGATTGGACTTGATATTTTATTTTTATTCTTTTGGTTTTGGGGCCACACCCAGCAGTGCTCAGGGCTTCCTCCTGGCTCTGTGCTCAGGGATCACTTAGGACCATATGCAAATGCCTTCCTCGCTGTACTGTCTCTCCAGCCTCAATTGGACTGATTCTTAAGTGATTTAGAACCAAGCTTCTTAAACTGTGTAACCCTGTATGGGGCTATGTAAGCTTAAACCTTGTTTCAAAATAAATATCCTTTTATCCTTATAAGGATACAAATGTTAAATATTAAAGTTATTAAATATTAAATTTATTATAAAACATTTAATTATTTTAATAATAATTAAAATATTTAAAAATATTAAAATTAAAACTTATTAAAATTAAAGCATATTCGATATGCCAGACACAGTAACAACAAAATTAAAACTATTACTAAAATATTTAATATCCTTTATGAGGATATTAAAATAAATATCTTTATAGAAGGTCTTAATGGCCCCTGTTAAAATAGAACAGTCTTCACACTCTTTCCTCTAAGGATACTTTTTTGTAGCATTTTCAGCGGTTTTTCATAACAAACAATGCAAAATATATTATTTCGGTTCTGCTTTGGGACAGGGATCAGGGGTTTGAAATGGAAACATCCGAAATATTGTGATGGGAAGGTGTAATGGTGGAGGGATTGGTGTTTGAATATTAAATGTAATAAAATATTGTGAACTACCTTATAAAAAAATTAAAATAAATTAAACCCAGTAAAGATTCCTCATTAAACCCTGTAAAGATTTTATCTGTATACCTATTTTAAACACCTCTATTCCTGGGATCACATAAAAATTTCTCAGGCTAAGTAGGGTCACTAGTGGAAAAAATTTAAGAAGCTTAGCTTTGGAAAATAGTATTGTATCATTTGTGATTAAGAGAAAAATAAGCATGGATTTGTACTATTCCTGTGATTGGTAAATGAATGTGTTAGTGTGACTGTAATGCCTGTTTTGAGTGTGCCATTATAGAGAATTTGCATTTGATTTCTGCTCATGGGGACGCAATTATATTGTAATGTAAAAGAAAAATACTTGAAGCTATACCTGTTGTAAGGAAAATGCTTTGGGACTGCTCAGGATAACGCCTAATAGCATACAGCAGGTGGTGTTAGCATTTGTGTTGGAAATCTAGATTTCGCCAGATGGAAAATTGCGTCTTAACCCCTGAGATCATAATAGCATGTCATCACTTCATTTGATCCTTCTGCTAATTGAGCTTATCAAATACCCTGCTGCCGTTTCCTATTGTTTTCATAATAAAATTAAATTGAAATGGTCTATTTGTGTGGGGTTAGGTTTTTCTTGTTTCTTTCACAATGAGGATTTTATAAACACGTAATGAGCTTTGAGATTTGTGCAAGTATCCCATTTCTGTGAGTGCCTCCTTTCTTTATTCGTGGCATTCCATGTCAACTAGAAAGAAGATTGTATTTCACTGAAGGGAATATGCCCTTATGTTGATGTGGATCCCAGATTATCAGACTTGGTTTTTCTTAAAATTATTTTTCTCTTGGTTTTAAATGGCCAGAAATTATAGAAAATTGGTTTTCCTAATCGTTGTTAGGATACTTGAAAGTTTTAAAAGGAATAATAATGTGTAGGAACTTCTCAAGTTATTATTATTTTTAAACTTTATCCATTCCTTTCCGTAGGAAAGCTGTGTTGTTTACACTTTGTTAGTTCTGCACTGCCTAGGATAAAACATGCCAGGCCTGCCTTTCTCATGGAGTCACATCCCTGGCCAGCTCATTGTTAACTTTGAACTCTGCTCTAGCCCAGCTCTGAGTGTCTTAGATTGCAGTGTCCATTCCTAATTTTCATAGCTAATTCCTTTCTTACCATTCACCTTCTGGTTTCTTTCTCTAGTTTATCAGTGAAATCTCCATCTTGTTTTTGTGTTTTTAAGAATAGTCCTTAGACACTGGAGTGATAGTATAGCAGATGGGGTGCTTTCTTTGCCAGTAGCTGAACTAGATTTGATCCCTGGTACCCTATATAATCCCCAAAGCATTGCCAGGAGTGATCTCTAAGCTCACAGCCAGGAGTAAGCCTTGAGAACTGCCAGATGTGGACCAAAACCCAAATAAACATATTTAAAAATAAAAATAGGCCTGTGTTATTTTTAGTCTCTATTTGATGTTTTTAATAACAGTAAAGTGTGCAAACTTTTTTTTAGTCTGTAAATTTTTATTTGGAATACCAGACATGCTGAATTCTGAGTGAGAATAGCAGCCCATTTTCACAGTTAAACATTTACTTTAGTAAGCAGTAAAAACTTTTTAAAAAAAAAAAACTTGATTTGGGGGTATGGTGCCGCCAGCAGGTCAACCTATACCTGCGGGGGGAGTACATCAGCAGCCTGATGTTGCCTTCAGGCTTTCTGATACCCCCAAATTGTCTTTGTGCCTTTGGCCAGACCCCAACAACTTGTGAACAAGTTTACCAAGAAATTAAACGGCCAAAAGTTAGGTATGTGGGAGTCACACCCACAAACCACCTCCGGTTCAGCTATACAAGCTCACTCAGAGTTGGGATGGGCTACCTCCCCAACTTCCCAATACACGTGGAAGAACTGGCAATCACCCCCATGAACCAACTCCAGCACCACCCTGTAAGCTCTACTATTGGCCTTGCCTCAGAGACCCTTAAATAAATCTCAGAAGAGATCAAAAGCCACAGTTAAGCTTAGACCCAAACATGGCTGAACAGTCGGGAGTAAATTGGAGGGGACAGGTTGTCGTGTGCATGCCCAAGCAGAGTTCCCGGTAGCCACTTGGCTTCCACAATCCAAAATTGCCGCCATACCCCAAGCCTGACTCCACCATCTCAGGATGGACCTCACCAAGATAAAATCTGCTGAAAATTTTGTAATGTGGATCTTAGCACACCAACAGCTCTGGCCCAGAGACAACAGCAAGTCCCGGAAGACACCAGTGCCAGAAATCTCTCTGGACCCCATACTGAGTCAATATCACTGGGACAACCCAGATAGAGCAGGTGCAGTCTCCCTGCCTACTCCAGATGGAATCCCGGTCACCAAGAGCTTCCATAAGTAAGGCCCAGGTATGTGGGTTCCAGCACTACATCTCCAGGCTGCATGGCGGCAGAGGACCCGGGCTGTCCCTCCCTGGGTCCCCGCCCATCCAGAAGACAGGCTGTCATCTCCACAATTAGCCTCCGGGCACCATCTTAGCACACCAACAGCCCTGGCCCAGAGACACAGCAGCAAATCCCAGATGACACCACAGCACTGGAGATCTCTTCTGGCCCCATACCGAGCCAGTATCACCGGGACCCCAGATTGAGCAGGTGTAGTCTTCCCGTCTACTCAAGATGGAATCCCAGTGACCACAAGCAACGCCCAGGTATGTGGGTTCCAGGACTACATCTCCAGGCCGCCTGCTGGCAGAGCACCTGGGCTGTCCCTCCCCGGGTCCCCACCCGCCCAGAAGACTGGCTGTTATACCCACAATTAGCCTCCGGGCACCATCTTAGCACACCAACAGCCCTGACCCAGAGACAAGGCAGCAAGTCCCAGATGACACCACAGCACTGGAGATCTCTCTGGGCCCCATACCAAGCTAATATCACCGGGACATCCCAGATGGAGCTGGTGCAGTCTCCCCACCTACTCCAGATGAAATCCCAGTGCCCAGGAGCTTTCAAAGCAAGGCCTAGGTATGTGGGTTCAGAACTAAATCTCCAGACCACTTGGTGGCAGAGGACCTGGGCTGTCCCTCCCGGTGTCACCACCTGCCCAGAAGACTGGCTGTCACGCCCACAATTTGCCTTTGGATGCCATCTTAGCTCACCAATAGCCCTGGCCCAGAGGCTCCCAATTGAATCCC